AATAAATGTCAGAAATTCCTTAATAAAATTAATATCATTTACATGATTCCAATAATAGCAAAGTATATCAACTATAAAATCCATGTATAATTGAAGTAAAAACAAACCAAAAGGGTAAATTGTAAACATAATTAAAGAGACTATATTAATCTCTCCAAAATTTGGTTAAATTAACTTTTAATTGATAATCAAAATAACTCTGATTTCATATAAATCGACCACTTCTAGGTATGTTTCACAGGATAATTCCTTAAACTTGGATCATGTAATATAACTATGCCATTTATCAAAATAAAGAATCAACTATGCCTATACATATGAATATCACATATCTTATATAGATTTACAAAGTCAACAATTTGGAATCCTTAGGCAGAGAATATGACTAGAATACATTTTATATTGATTATTCTGTTTTCCTCAAAAAACAACAACTATTCACAATGTCAAAATGAAACAATTTAGAGTAGCCACCATCAAAAGATGAAAATTCCACTGTTTATTTTATATGTAAGACATTTTCACTTATAATGATGGTCGTCAACATAAATGCTACTCTATCATTAGAATATCAGTAGCATTATTAGTTAGTTAATTTTTACCATATTTCTATTCCTATAATTTCATAGCATTAGATGCTTTAAAAATAATGATATATATTTTTCAATTCCAAATTATTTATTTAAAATGTTTTAAATATTTCAGATAAATTTTACAGCATTTACCCAAGGAAATGCCCCGAATTTCAACAGAAAAGTTGACAAATAATAACAAATATAAATACGCTCTTGAAAAATGTAAAACTAAGTACAGGGAGCATGCATCTGAGCAGGACTTACAAGAATTAAAGAAAGCTCAAAAAGAATATGATCTTTATATGGAAATATGCAATATTATTGACTTGGAGCATAAGGATAGTTACAAAATTTTAGGAGTCGACTCTACATTCTCTGTAGCTGATATTAAGAGATCCTATAGAAAATTAGCATCAAAATATCATCCTTCCCGGGCTCACATCGATGGGTCATGTAATGCTATGAGAATACTTCAAAAAGCATATTTAGATCTAAATACACAAGAGAAAAAAGATGCCTATGATAGACATCAGGCCTACTCTCCTCAATATGGAAACCTATTTAGTAATAATGATTTTTTTACCAGAGAATATGCCTATGAATCTAATGTCGGGGATGGGTATTATTTTACTATGAACAATTACCCTAGATTTAATAGTTTTACTTTCAATTCATCCTTAGATGAAAATCCTCTACTTAGTCGAGTTTATCGAAATATATATCAGCAGTCGAGAAGACCTGAACAAATCCAGAATTTAAGGGAATTGATAAAATTTTGTATATTTTCATTTTTGGTGGTTTTTATTCTTATGTTCATCTCATGAGTAAGAATATGAAAATGGATCTTCAAAGTGAATTGCTTATATTTCTTTATTAATAAAATTCAAACAGTTTGAAATTTTTTTGAAAAATTTTAACCAAATTTTAATTTTAAAAAACCCCAAGCTTTCTGCCCCTAACCGATAAATGCAAAAGACAACAATTAATAAATCATATGCTCATGCTGCTTTGCTTATTCATGCGACCAACCAGGAGGTAACTAAAGATAAAATAGAATCTATATTCAAGACGCTTGGTTTGGAATATTCATCCAAGGTGGCTTCCATGTTTGCTTTATCGCCATCCAAATATGTAGACCTCTTGTCCTCAACTGGATCCTCTGCACCAGTAGCAGCTGTTTCCACAACTTCAGCTAGTGCTGCCACCGCTGAAGAAGTACAAGAAGAAGAATCAGAGGATGCAGATATTGACTTCTAATAAATCCATTTCAGAACAAATTTATTTCCTTCTTAGTAGTTGCCTTCCGGACATTTCCAGTGGTTGACTGATGTTCATAATTTTTAGTATTGTGGGCGCTATATCGCTTAATCCCATCTTATCACTTAATAGTTTCTGGTGCTTATTTGATGAAATTATTAGTGGGACCTTATTTGTTGTATGTGTCTTACAAACGTCATTTTGTTCAAGCATTTTTTCACAATTACCATGATCTGCCGTAATTACGATCACATAGTTATGCTCCGTACAGCAATCAAATATTTTTTTGATAACTTTATCTACTGTTTTAACTGCTCCCAACACAGCTTTGTAATTTCCAGTATGCCCAACTAAATCAGGTCCTGCCAGATTTACTAGAATGAAGTCTGTTTGCTTTTTTATGAATTCAATTGCTTTTTCACAAATTTCAGACATTGAACAGCCTGGAAATTGATCGAAACCTCTAACTTTCTTACTGGGAATTAAAATATTCAGTTGGTGAGGAAATGTTTTGTTGGATAATCCATTGAAGAAGTAGGTTACATGAGCAAATTTTTCAGTTTCTGCCAAATGGACTTGACTTTTCCCATACTTAGAGATAACCTCTGAAAGGGTATTTTTGATTTCAATATTTGGGAAAATGGCTTCTCCTAGCCCAGGTCTATATTCTGTCAATGTATAAATGCTTTTATTGATTTTAGAAAATTTCTCGACTATTTGAATCATTCTATCTGCACGGGTATTGAAGAAAATAAGCGTGTCATTAGGATGGATACATTCATCTTTAATCAAAATTGGTTTAATAAATTCATCAGTTATTCCATCCTTATAAACCATGTCCCAATCAAGTTCTTCAACACATCCTCTGGTCATCATATTGAAAGCCTTATCAACTCTATCATGATTGTGATCTCTATCCATTGTATAATATCTTCCTGCAACAGAAACAATATTTTCAAACTGATCAAAGAATTTTCTAAAAACCTTAGGAGAGGTATCTCTTCCATCCGAGATGGCATGAATTAATACTGTTTTAGAAGTATCTATTGATAAGATTGTATTCATCAAAACTTTACAGTGTCTAATAGATGAATGCACACCACCATCGCTTAATAAGCCTACCAAGTGAATTCTATTGGACATTTCCGGTAAAATATTGGCTATTCTCAATTCCAATTTATTATTTTTGATATTTTTATTGACCATTTCAATTCCCTGAGGAATAATTCTTCCTGCTCCAATTGTCATGTGGCCGGCTTCAGAGTTTCCCATTGAGTGATCTGGAAGGCCTACATGTGTACCATGAGCACTTAATTCAAAATACAAACAGCTTTCTTTGAGAGAGTTTATGAAATTTGCTTCTTCAGTAGAATTACTATGATTGTTTGAAATACCATATCCATCTATCACCACTAAGCAAACTTTAGACATGTATAATATTTCAAAAGTTCTTAAAGCCAACATATTTTGTAATTGGTTGACTTTGAACCAGTAATTTTTTACAGAAAGTGATCTTGAACCTATATAAAATTCATCATTAAAACAAACCTTTAACTATCATATTTTTATTTGATTGCTCTTACTCTTTCTTTTCTATTTCATTCAAATATTTAACATATTGGTTGATAAGTGATCGCAAATCTCTATTAGCTTGCTTATCAAGCGTCTTGGAAACTGCATGAAAAAATGATTGATTCAACCCAGCCAAAAGGTCATCACAGTTTTTAATAACTGGATTAAACAGCTCTTTGGTTGAACCAAATATTCCACGTAAATTATCTTTGTTGGCTGTTTTATTTCTCACAGCCCTGGCACGTTTCTTTATAGGCGAATTAGTTGATTCTATAGGCGTATCATTGCCCTCTAAATCCTCGTTTCCGCTGTAGGGAGAAAGCTGTTCGGCAGCTCTTCTTTTCTTGCGGTTAAAGTCCATATTGGGACCACATACACCAGAAAATTAAAAATAAATGTTTTGTGTTAAAACTCTTTATTCATCATAGTACTCATCTAAAATGTCCTTTGGAATTCTATTAAGCATGTTTCTTGGAAATATTTTAAGCAGCTTCCAGCCTAAATCAAGACTTTCATAAATTGAACGGTTTTCTGATTTTGTCTGTGATACAAATTCTCTTTCAAATTTGTTCAAAAACTCAATAGATAGCTTGTCTTCATCAGTTAGACTCTCCTCCCCAATAACAGACTTCATGGCTTGGGCATCCTTTCCTATAGCATACTTTGCATAAAGCTGATTGGACAAGTCAGAATGATCACTTCTGGTTCTTTTATCCCCAATAGCACTCTTCATTAAACGGCTGAGTGATGGAAGAACATTGATGGGTGGATATAACCCTGCATTGTGCATTTTACGATCAACATAAATCTGTCCCTCAGTTATATACCCTGTTAGGTCTGGTATTGGATGGGTGATATCGTCATTTGGCATAGTTAGGATGGGTATCTGAGTTATAGATCCATTTTTACCCTCTATTCTTCCTGCTCTTTCATATAAGGTAGACAAATCAGTGTACATATATCCTGGATAGCCTCTCCTGCCTGGAACTTCTTCTCTTGCTGCACTAATTTCTCTTAGAGCGTCTGCATAAGAACTCATATCAGTCATTATTGTTAAGACATGTTTTTCAGTTTCGTATGCTAGATATTCGGAGGCTGTTAGAGCAAGTCTTGGTGTAATAATTCTCTCAATGGTTGGATCGCTGGCTAAGTTTAAGAAAAAAGCAGTTCTCTCAAGAGAACCGTTTTCTTCAAATTGAGACCTGAAGAATTTGGCTGTTTCCATATTTACACCCATTGCCGCAAAAACAATGCAAAAGTTTTCTTTGGAAGTGTCTAGAGTGTCTTTCCTTTTGACCAAGCTGGCTTGTTTGCATATTTGGGCCGCAATTTCGTTATGAGGAAGTCCAGCTCCACTGAAAATTGGAATTTTTTGACCTCGAGCAATGGAACTCATTGTATCAATCGCCGATATTCCTGTCTGGATCATTTCTTCTGGATAAATTCTTGCTTGTGGATTGATTGGTTGGCCCTCAATACTTAAATAATCAGCAGGTATAATTTCAGGCCCGCCATCAATAACCTTTGCACTTCCATTAAAAATTCGTCCCAAAAGATCTTCTGATACACCCATCTTTAATATATCACCGGTAAATGTTACATGGGTATCTCTTACATCTATACCAGATGTTCCTTCGAATACTTGTACCACTGCCCTGCTCCCACAAACTTCTAGAACTTGGCCCTTTCTAGTTATGCCATCAGAAAGTGTAATTGTTACTATTTCACTGTATTTTAGATATTTAATATTGTCTAGAATAACCAATGGTCCATTAACGCCAGAAATATGCTTATATGTCATTCTTGGTTCGATATGAATACCTTCCATATTTGGATAAACATTTTGGTTGTTAAATGGTAGTTGTTTCATAATATTTATAAAATGAGTAGTTTTAATCAAAAACCCCACTATTTCATCAAACACCTCGATTGTAGAATTCTCTCCCACTTTTTAACATTGTCAATAATTGAGGTATATTATCCCAATTAAAACATTTTATTTTGGTTTCTCTCTAAGTTAACAACCTTTCTACATCTCATATTTTACATTTTAAATTTTTTTCCCTAATGCTATGGATTGATGAGTACAGACCAAAATCTTTTAAAGAAGTAACTTCACATGAAAGCATTGTGTCGATGATGAAGTGTTACACTTTGGAGACAATTCCAAATCTTATTATATACGGACAATCCGGACACAATAAGAATACCTTGGTAAGATGTTTAATTGAACACTTGTATGGAAAATATCCAGAGATGAAACAAAAATCATTCGAAATTCAAATCAACTCAAAGCCCACTATGATTGATTTTTTGGAATCTGAAGAGATGGTGGAAATAACACCATCAGATTATGGAAACCGTGATAGACAAATCATTCAAGGCATAGTAAAAGAAATAGCACAAAACAAGCCAATAATGGGTATGTTTGGCAAAAAAAAGAGATCTGTAAGACTAATTGTAATAAAGCAAGCAGAAAACCTTACAAGAGATGCACAAGCGGCTCTTCGCAGAACAATGGAAATGTACACTTCTCATTTTAGAATTATTATGGTATGTACTGAAGTTTCAAAATTGATTGAACCTATCAGAAGTAGAAGTTTATTCGTCAGAGCCAGAGGATTTCTTGATGAAGAGATTATTTCCATATGTCAAAACATCCTAGATAAGGAGAGTTTTGTAGTGGAGCTGTTCATTTTGAAACAAATAGCCCAAAATTCGAAAGGAAGTGCTAAACGAGCAATTTGTCTGCTAGAGATGTATTGTTTCAATAGAGAGTCTGAGACAACGAAGAAGAAAAAACCAGATCTTACAACATTTAAACTAGATTGGGAGTTAAAAATTGAAGCTATAGTTGAATTAATAAAATCAGCAAAGGTTGAGAATATGATTAAAATAAGGAAGGAAATCACATCTCTAATTGTATCATGCATCGATGCACATGATATTCATCTAGGCATTTTATCTGGATTGCTTCACAAGAACTTTACAAAAGTAACAGAGCTGGTTCAACTGGCTTTAAAATATGAAGAAAGAATGAGGTTAGGAATAAAACCTATTTTCCATTTAGAAGCTTTTGCAGCAAATGCAATGGTAGTCTTTGCAAAGAAATAAACTGATGTTATGTTGAATGAATTTGTTTCCTGCTCACTATAGTAGTTATTATAGTACTTATCATTGACTATTAATTATTGGATGCTTTATTTCGAAATATCAACTTATATTGAACAATTGTTAAATTTCATACTGGTTATTACACAGATAGTTTTGAACTCTGTTATTCTTCTACTTAACTATTTAATATATATGTTATACTAACAGCCCTGATGGTTTAGCGGTATAATACTCGGTTTGGGTCCGAGAGGTTCCGGGTTCGATTCCCGGTCGGGGCCTTTTTTAATAAATGGAGGGTATTTCTTTCTGAATTTTTAATAAAATGCTCTACCATATTAAACTCATCTCTATATTATATTTATTCATGGATTCACCTGATTATTGAAAGCATTACTTTATTTTATCTTTAATGTAATTACTGATTTTGAATGAGATAATCATCGTCTCATTAATACCTCAATCCTTTTATAAATTATAAACAAATGTTTTAGACTAACAACTATTAATGAGAATTCACCAAAAATTATCATAATTAATTGTTCAATAACATAGATAATTTACTTACTCAAAACCATATATATACCCAAGTTTAAATAAAAATAAGAATACAATAATAAATAATAGCAAAGGGCACAAACTTGGTGTCAAGAGCTAATAATTATTGTTTAAATAACCTAGACAACAACTAATTTATTGGCTCAAATGGTGATAAAAATATAACCTATCAGCAATATACGTAATAAACTATTTATCCGACAATTTAAACTATTACATTCCTTAACTTTAAGTAAATTGTAGAAGTCAAGTATATTGGCTATTTATGAATTCTTAAATCAATTTTTCCTTGATCAAATATTTTATACTTAACCAAATTTGCTAGTTCACCGTAGACGATATATATATACCAACCAAGTGAATATATAAATCCATATTTCAAGTTTACTGTTGTAAATATAATTGTATAAAGGAATGCATTGCATTCTCGGTAAAAGAAAATAAATGACAAAGGGTGAAGGTGACACATATACATACTGAGAAATAGTATGAATGGAGATTCATTGAACTTACACTTATATAGTAGTATCAATGCAATCATCAATGAAAAAAAAACCAGTTGATCTCCCTTGATTATTTTATTCCCAATAG